ATCTTTGAAATGGAGACAATAATGATTTCAAGGTTTGCTAAGTGTAAATCACACAGCTTATTTAGCCCATGTAAGAGTAATAGCAACATTTTTTATCATAATAAGAGTATTAAAATCAAATATAGTGATAGATCTCAATCTGGTTAGAAGTTGTATCTTTTATATCGATGAGCACTACAAGTCCTGAATAAAAAATATGAAACAATTCTAGGACCCTGAAAGTAGCAGGACAACTGGGGAGAAAAAGCAAATGAAAGATAAAGAACTACACAAACAAGTTTCTGCTTCTTTTCTACTCCCACAGTTTAGTTATCTTAGTTTTAGTTAGTTTAGTTATGCAACATGTGTGAGCAGAAACAAGTAGTTTTCTATCATGTCTGAGGCTAAGCACTTCAGAAACACAATCAATTTATCCAAAATTGTCTGCCATTTTATCCTAAATCAAAGTTTGATGTTGGACTGGGTGCTGGTGGCTCATGTCTGTAATCCTAGCTACTCAGGAGGCTGAGATCTGAGGATCATGGTCTGAAGCCGGTCTGGGCAGACTGGCTTATCTCAAATCAACCACCAAAAGGTAGCAAGTGGAGCTATAGTTCAAGTGGTAAAGTGCTAGCCTTGAACAAAAAGCTCCAGATAATACTCAGGCCCCAAGTTCAAGCCCCAGGACCAGCACACACACAACCTTGAACAAAAAAGCTCAGGGATGGCAATCAGACCCTGAGTTCAAGCCCCAGTACCAGTGCACATGTGTGCGTGCACAGGTATACACACACACACACACACACACACACACATTTGATATTGGTTTTTATCTTTCTTATGAACTATGGATATACAGACTAGATAATCCACCCAAGCTAAGCAGATTTTAGGAGATAAAATTAGACTTTCTATACCAAACTTCTCATCTCCATGCTACACTACCATATGTGGATCAAAGAAAGAGGGAAGCAATTATATTGGTTTCTATTAAGAAATCACTGGTCAGTTTTCCTGAACTGTTTCAGGAAAGAAAAAGAGATAGAAAAGAAGCCACCAGGTTGATAACTAAAGCAGAATGAAGAAGGGAAGAGAATTATAGACTAATAGCTCAGAATTTTCACTGTACAGAAAGATAGGGATTAGAAAGCATGATTAAGATAATGTCTACAATTTGTATGTATCTATGTATCTCTGATGTGCTCAGAATTTTCACTGTACAGAAAGCTAGAGATTAGAAAGCATGATACACCATGAGTATTAATGTCTACAACTTGTATGTATCTATGTATCTCTGATGTGTTCAGAATTTTCACTGTACAGAAAGATACCGATCAGAAAGCATGATACACAATGATTAAGATAATGTCTACAACTTGTATGTATCTATGTATCTCTGATGTGTTTATGTATATATCAATGTATCTATCTACAATGTATCTACAATGTATCTATCATCCATATCCTATCTATTATCTATCTGCTATCTGTCTACCTATGTATCTATCATCTATCTACTACTATCATCTATCTATGTATTATCTATTATCTACTACTATCTACTATCTATGTATCTATCATCTATCTATTTATGCATTTATTAAAGCAAGGTCCAGCTCACAAGATAGAGCAACTTTAGGCCCTTCAAGGTTCAAGGAGAATATGCCAGAGGGTAATACAAAATTGAAGGAAATAATTTCATTTTATAACATAGCAAAGCAATGCACCTGACAAATGCCTCATGTAATGGAAGCATACTGATGATCCAGAGTAGGAACGAGTCACACACAAACACATACACTACACACACCACACACACAAACACATACACTACACACACCACACACACACAACTCTAGGGAGAGAAAATAATAGACAACTATTGTATTTCTTTTTTTTTCTTTTTTCTTTTTTTGTTGGTTGTGGGGCTTGAACTCTGGGCCTGGGCACTGTCCCTGCGCTCTTCAGCTCAAGGCAAATGCTCTACCGCTTGAGCCATAGTGCCATTTCTGTTTTTTGAGTGGTTTATTGCAGATAAGAATCTCACAGACTATCCTGCCCAGGCTGGCTTTGAACCTCTATCCTCAGATCTCAGCCTCCTGAGTAGCTAGGATTACAGGCATGAGCTACCAGCACCCAGCTTATTGTATTTCTTATAAACTGCATACCTGTAAATTAGTTCCCAACAGTTTAACTTTTAAGAAATAAAAATAAATGCTTTGTGATGATAATTTATCATCATGAGCAAATAAGCAATTGTTAAATATAATGGGAATTAAGAAAGGGGCATACAGTAAGAGTGGTCATGTAATGGTGCATTTTTTTCCCCTACACGTTCCTGGTGATAGAATCAGACAAGGGATGACTGAATGTGTGAGGACATGAATAATGATGGGTGACACATATTCTCTGAGTACCTGAGAATAAAAGGGCAATTCTTTAGTTTAGTTCTGGCAATTAGGAATGATTCTTGATGGCATGGGTTCTTTCTTAACTGGGCATAGATTAAGGAAAGGAACATCCCATTCCAAACCTTCTGATCTGCTAATGTTTTAAAATTAGACTGTAAGAAAGGCTGAGTTTGCATTAGAGAAATTTGCTATCAAACCATTAGCTAAATTTTATGCTCTACAATTTTCAAGAAAGATGATTTGGAATATTTTTGAATAATTGCTATACCTCAAAATCATGGTGATAATTTGTTGTTCAAATTACAATTTGAAGTTGGACGTGAAACCCATCCTTCCACACAAGAACACGGAAGCTTCATCTCCAAGAGAAAGGACTTCTACCCTTGACACACACTTTTATCTTCTCACACATGCTCTTTAATTATACTGTGTGACATCACAGAACAGATTGCTTCCTTAGCAAAGAACTCTTCCTTAAGGGACAAAACTTTCATGTCATTAGAAAGCATCTTATTTTCCTCTTTAGAAAAATTATTTCCTTTTAAAGGGAAAATAAGCTCGAGGTATGCAGGCCAAAAATAAAAAAAATATGTGCAAGGGAAATTTGTTAAATACACAAAATCTAATGGGGAATGCTTTCTGTGGGTTAAAAATTCATTTCTTTACACAAATGTACATGGTCTGTGCATGTGCTGTGCTTCAGAGCAGGCTTCAAGGTTTCACCTTCTGTCTTCACCAGGCAACTTGAGTCTTCGCCCCTGCATAACAAAGCCAAGAAAATGTGTGACTTCAGTTCCAAGCCTTCTGTCTTAAACCAGTCTCTCCCCATTCTATGATTTCAGCTTTGAATAAAGAAATGGAATATGCAGAGAACAAAATCAACCCAGGGACGGACTCTGGGACTCCATTATGGAAGAGGCCAAATTGCTCCTTCAGTGTGAATCTGGTCAGGGGAGCTGTACCATCATCCCAGGGTGTGCACACATTTTGGAAGACTGCTCAGGGGAGGGAGCAGTGTGGTGATTCTGTTTTTTTTTTTTTTTGCTGATTCTCTGGATCCCAAAATAACTATTGGGGCATCAAGTGGCAGAGCCCCAGTTGTAAGCAAAACAGCCAAACAAGCGCTCCAGACCCTGAGTTCTGTATCGTATGGATGGCGGCCCTGTCTAAAGCTTATAAAAGGTTTCCATCACCCTTGGGAGGAGACTCCAGGCTCTCAGACTCCTGGCCATGGCTTAACGTGGGCCAGGCCCACTGCTCAGAAATGTAGTTCAGCCAGGGCCCTTCCATCCCCTTTGCTGCCACCGTTCCCCAAGCAGCTGCACAACCAAAGCCCCCCTTTCACCTACCCTCTGAGGTGTACCCTACCCCAGCTGCTTCCCCACAATGTCTGGATTGAAATTGTCTTATTTTTCTGAGGTTCTTCGAACTCCCCATGAGGAGGCCTTCTGTCTGTCTGACTCACAAAAACTCCAGTATGAGCAGGATCCCTGGCACACAATAGGTACTTCATTGACATTCCCATGGGAGATTGACTCTAGAGTTGTAGACAGTCTGCAACTCAGGCCTGGATCCTTTTCCCTCATTTGTTTTCACATCCCCAAGCCCTCCTGACCAAGGGTCTGAGTCAACCCTTGCAATGCTCTTGTTCATAAAAACCTGTTCGTGTTCTCCAGAGCCTTTCCTGGGCCTCACTGTTAAATGCACATGTGTGTTTATATTCTGTCTCTCCCATTACACTGTAGAACTCTAGCAGATCAGAGACTGTGTACCATTCTGGTCACTTTCGTATACCATGTATACCATCAGGGATAGATAATGTGATTAATTATGCTATAGTCAATGAAGATTCAAATATTTGGAGTTCTATTGCTTTTAATTATAGGGTACAAGAGGGGAAAAAAGAATTGCTGATGAAGTGTTGTTTAGTAGAGAGATTGGGTCTGGCTGTGCCATCTTAGCCTCATGGTGGATGGTAGAGTCTGGCTTCTTGTCTTCATGGTGGGGGTAAGGTGAAGGCCCCACCTCTCAAGTGATAGGCATGCCTGAATCCCTGGAGGTGGGGCTGGGGATTTGGATGATAGGTTACTAAACCTGTCAGTCCAGTGCCTGGGATATCAGTTTCCTGTGACCTTGACTCCTGATCTGACTCTATTTAGGCCTGGACCAGCTCAGGCACCTCAACACCAGAACACATGTCTCTGTGTTTGTGTCCTATTTCCTGTCTCCTGGCTCTTCTCTGGTCACCATGGTGTCCCAATTTGGTTTGGGTTTTATTCTTTCTTTCTTCTCTGGCCTTTGTGGCTCAGTTTTCTAACAGTGCTAAGTGTATTTGCTGGCTGCTGGTCTTTGAGACAGGAGTCTACCATGCAGTTGCTGGCCTTTTAATAAAGACTCTGAGATTCAACCACCTCTCGAAAAGTGGCTTCTCTGTTTTCTTACCTCGTAACATTAGATTTCCTTCCAAGAGCTTTTCTGGGTTCTGTGGTACCTAAAGGCCTAAGGACCATCCCTCCTCCCCTTCCTCCCCTTCCCGCCATGATCTAGAAGAGGTATCTGTACTCTTTTCTCTAGAAGAACAAGGGAATGCAGTGGATGGACCTGACATACCTGAGCAGGTGGTTGGGTAGATGGCATGGTGCTACTCCGCAGGACCAGGGGAGTGCAGGCAGCAGGCAGCTGAGTCTCCCCTGAGAAAGGAGGACTGGCAGGCTCCGGGACCACAGCAGGGTGGGGGTGAGCATACAGATTCTGGCCATTTCTGTCTTCTGTCCAGTTACATGGTGGCAGATTTGTATGGAGTCCAAGGGGCTCCCCTATGAGGCAGTCCAGCTCCTGAGAGGAAAGTAGAAAGAGGTGAGAAGACAGTGTCATATCTGTACCTGAAGCCACCCCAGGCTCGGGGAAAGATGGTGGATGTCACTCCTCTTTCATTTCCAGGCTGGGAGGGAGTACTGGGGAATTGCTGTCTAGCTTTGAGTGACCACTAGGAAGCTGTGTAGGCATGAACAGACCAAATGGCTTTGCTTTGTACCTACCGCCTGGGCATCGGCATGTGACCCTAGAATGATGGAAACGAGGGCACCAATGGGTTTCTCACTTAATCCCTGCCCCCTGGGCTGGGCTGGACAAAGTCTAACTCTCATCCCCACCCTGCCCCTACCAGTAGGAGCTCTTCTCTGATTTTCCCAGCGAGGTCTCCAAGCTGAAACTCCAGCTCTGCCACCTGCTGCCTCAGTGCTTCCCGCAGGGTGTGCAGGTGTTGTACCTCCTCCCTGAAGGGGACAACAGAAAACAGGAGCCTCAGCCTGGGGTGCGCCTCTGCACTGTGCTGCTGGCAGTGCAGGCCTGTCTCATTGATGTTTCTCAGAGAAAATGTCATCCCCTTCATTCGATTCAGTTGCATGCATAGTACCTTACCTTCCTTCCCTCCCTTTTCCCTTCCTCCCTCACTCTTTCCTTTCCTCCTTGCCTTCCTTCCTTCCTTCTTCCCTCCCTTCCTTCCCTTTTCAGTGCTGGGGATTAAACATCAGCTAGGCAAGAGCTCTTCCACTTAAATACATCTCCAGCTTACCTCTTTTACTTTGTATTGTTTTAATTTTTAGAACTACTCTATTATCCTAAAATTTTCCTATCTCATTTACTTGTTTTAAGCTATCATTCAATACTTTGCACTACATTTACCAAGTTGTGTAACTCTTCATCCTAGAGCTGCAGAATACATTCCATCTCCATTAAGAACACTAGGACCCACAGCTGGAGATCTGTGGCTCACATCTGTAGGTCTAACTACTCAAGAGGCTGAGATCAGAGGATCACAGTTCAAAGTCAGCCTAGGCAGGAAAGTCTATGAGACTGTTATCTCCAATAAGCTACTCAAAAGCTGGAAATGGAGCTGGAGTTCAAGTGGCAGAATGCCAGCCCTGAGTAAAGGAAGCTCAGAGGCAGGGACGCTCCTGAGTTCAGGAGAAAAAAACAAACAAGCAAACAAACCCTAGCACTCGACTTCCAACTCTATTTCTAGTCCCAGGCTGTGTATGTGGATAATGCATCTACTTTGCCTCCTCTGCCATGGTACTTGGTTTGGCACTTGTTTGGTTGTTGCTCTACTGATTGAGGCACTCCTTTGTGTTTGAGTCATTTTGAAAATAAAACTCTTGTGGGTTTTGTTTTATTTTGTTTTGTTTTGTTTTTTTTTTCCCACGCTGGCCTGGACCACAGTTCTACTTGTGCCTCCCATGTAGCCAGGATGATAGCTACCAGGAAAATGTGTGACAAAACTTCGTACCTGAGATGGAGTCAGTCTTCCTAACATTTTGCCTAGTCTGGCCCCAAACCAGGATCTTCCATTCTCTGCCTGCTAAGTAACAGATCTGGGATGGCAGGTGTGACTCATTGTGTTAGGCCTTGGGATATATATTTTTAACTCATGTGAATATAATGCAGATTCTAATAACTTGCACATGTTCCCTTGCATGAGCTCTGTTCCCATAGATTAAATCCATGCGATGGACACTGCCTCTCCCCACCGGATCACCCCTCCTCTGACCTCCTGAACTAGACCCCATCTGGCAAATCGCTCTCTAGCCTCCCCTGGAGAAAGCAAGCATAAGATAGGAAAGCTAAGCAAGAGTTTGCAGATTTCTCATTAGCCCTGCCCCAGGCTGCTCCCCAGGTCTACACTGCCCCAACTCCTTTCCTTGGTTTTATTGCTCCCTTAGATAATTACCTTTCCTCTTCTAGCATGTCCCTGGACAAAAGTGCCTGCTGTCCTGCTAGGTGCTGTCCAACTTCCTCTAGGTACTCCCGGAAACTCTGGCATACAGTTGTAATGGCTTCCAGTCCAGGCAGGGTACACTAAGGACAAGCAGAGAGCTGAGAAGGGGAGGACATCTGCATTCCAATGAAAGGGTCACCTGTTTCCAAGGAAGTCTGACTGTGAAGGCATGTGGAGGGGAGGGGTGGGCAGAGACGCCCAACCCCAAGGCATTTCTTGGCTGAACCTGGAAGGTGTCTGGATGGCGCTTAATGACAGTCATGTCCAGATACTTGAGGACATGGACAGGAAGGAAGAAATAGGCAATGCAGGACTGGGAGGATGTGGACAGGAAGGGGACACAGGTGATGCAGGGTTGTGAGGATGTGGACCAGAGGGAGGACAGAGGTGATACAGGATGTGAGGATTTGGACAGGGCTGAGAAAGCCAGGGCCTCCTTTCATGGTGTTTACACCAAAGTAAATCAAGAACATTGAATGTATTGGCTCAGATGGAGTTTGCCCTTGGAACAATTGTATTAGCCCCAGTCATGCCTAGCCATAATCTCTGAGGGGGGGGGTGAAATCTGCCATCGTCTCCACCTGGTTAACCAGTCCACCTGGAGGAGGACAAGCAAAGGGAAGACATCCTGGCTTCTCCTGAGCTGCCCTTCCTGCTTCAGTCACTGCTGATGTGAGTCACATGGCCTGGCACTCTCTCCTAGCTGATCTGTGCCTTGGTTTCCTAGCATAAGCATGTTCTGATGGTCCAGGGATCTGGGGGCACCTCTGCACAAGAAACAGCCTAACCTGCTCAAGCATGACTCCTAGCAGCACAGGCACTGGCCCAGTGATGGCCGTGTCCCTATTATGGCCATGTCCCTTGGTGGCTGTGTCTCTGTGGTGGCTGTGTCTCTGGGGTGGCCTCCTGCCCTGCCGGCAGCAATTGCTGAATGTTATAATCCCTGATGCTGACCACTGACTTCAGCAGGTACTATGAGGAGCTTATGATGGTGGTGACATCTAATTCAGGTGTCCTCCTCAAGGATCTGAGAGCCTGTGCTATCTGGACAGCCGGGATCACCTTTCAACCCCTGTGGGAGAGTGGAACCCTAGCTTTGAGCTTGTTGCTCAGAAACACGCCACTGACCTAGAGGCCTTGACCTTGTCCAGCCTGGTTCAAGCAGATTCCTAGAAGGTCACCAAGGTTAGGGAGGGCCAAAATCAACTTCCAAGCTCTAGGGACAGTGTGAGCTCAAATAGGCAGCGGGCCCTTAGATTGCCATCAGATGTTTTGGGGTGACCTTTTGTGGTTGGAAAACCCCAGGCAGGTAGAGTTGGACTTGAGAGAACTAGAGTGCTGCCATCTTCTGGCCATTTGGAAACTCTATAAACAATAGAGTTCAGCTCTGGAGAAGCTACATTTTCTGCTAAACAAACAGTTTCAGAGATAAAGCCCAATATGGGAGATAGAAGAGAACAGTTTTGAATATTTTTTCCCCCTCATATACAGACTGGGTTAAACCCACTGCCAGCAAGTCCATTGACTTTAATCTAGAAAAGCAAACCTCCGCTTTGACAGAGTAGGAGCTTTGACTCTTGAATTGGTTCACAGTAACGTTATGAAATTGTATATTTCCTTCTTCTCCTGTGGCTTAAGTCATAAACGTTATAGAAGAATCTTCAAATAATCAGAAATGTTGTTTCTGATGCATCTTTTCTTTTTCTGGAAAGACATCTGTCTTTCCAGAATGTATTTTAAATTCATAAATTATTCTAAAGAACTCATTTTTAAAATAAATTTAATGGCATCAGCAATAATTTGCAATTGACAAATTATAATAAAATCTTGATTTATATCGAATCTATCTATCTATCTACCTTATTATTATTATTATTATTATTGCTGTCCTATGGTTTGAACTCAAGGCCTGGGTACTTTCCCTGAGCTTTTATGTTCAAGGCTAGTGCTCTACCACTTTGAGCCATGCTTCATTTCCAGTACTTTCGTAGTTAATTAGAGACAAAAGTCTCATGGATTTTCCTGCCTGGATCTGGCATTAAACTATGATCCTCAGATCATAGTTTTTAGCTCCTAAGTAGCTAGGATTACAGGTGGCATTGGCCACTGGCATTTGGCCTCATATATATAGATTCAATCACAAACTATTATTTAGATAACCTTCAAGACCACAGAAATGGCTGTGTGCTTCTCTGTAGTATTTACAAAGCCCTGGATAAAATGAGGAGGTACTTTTCAAAATTTTTACCTGAAATTGCTTTTAGTTTGAACATCCCCTGGAATTCCTGTTAGCATTTAAAAGGTGACATTCCTGACTGCCTATAATTTTCATTTGGTCCATGTACTATTTTCTAGTTAGGTTTTTCAAAGTGTTTTTTCTCCCCCTCGCTAGTACACAACCTTCAACTCAAGGCCTTGTTTTTCCCTTAGAATATGGTTCCAGCTTTAGAAAATGCTGGCTCACTGCCTATAGATCTTATTGTCTGCCATACCCTGTCCTCTTCTTCAACTTTCTGGAAATGGCTTCCTTATGGAGTGTTGCAATATCTTCTTTACATTGGCTGTGCTTTGTGTGTGCATACAGGCGCGCATGTCCATGCATGTGTGTGCATACAGCCTGAATGTGAGTACAAACACTCACATGTATAGTGTGCATATTTTCATTGTTGCCTTCCAATGTGTGTTCCTGCTTCCTTGACTCTAAAGACAAATTCATTGTCATCTAGTAAAGCCCCATACAGTATGGCTCAATAGGTATGCAGTGCCTTACAGATTTGAATAATTGTATATTTCCAATCAAGACTCAGATTTCCAATCAAGACTCAGGTGTATATGTGTATGTATGTGTGTGGGTATATATGTGTGTGAGAGTGTGTATTTGTGTATGTGTATGCATGTGTATGTGACTTGGGTTTGAAGTCAGGGCTGTATCCTTGGTAGTCCCACACATGTGGAACTGTACGTACACTCCAGGTACTCTCTGGACACAATGGGCAGACATTGTATCTAAGCAATGTCCTTACTATACCTGGCTCTGGGCCCCAGTGCCTGGGTTTCTTGGGGCTGACTCTCGCTCTTCCCTGTCTACCCACTTTCTTCTAGCAGCTGTAGTCCATCTACCTGCACCTGTGCTCCAAGTTGTCAAATTGTGCTTTGAACCAACTCCTAACTAGTTGCCAGGGACACCAAAAGTTCATATACTCTAGGCCTGTCAAAGCAACGGTCTGATGAAATGTACTCTAGAGTGGCCATGTTCTGCAAAAATTAACTGAGGTAGCACAAACACAATGTGGTGCGATGGACTTCTAGATTCTGTCTGTTGACATGTATTTGTTATTTCTCCTTACCATCAATAATTACAATAAATGATTTCCACGTGAATAGAAACCAGATCTCACCAGAATACATTTTTAAAATCAATGGCCAGCTTTGAAGGCCTTGGTTACTTCTCCCATTTAGGTACGCTGAAGAGAGAAACTCATTAAATGCTGATTAAAAGCTAAAGGAGGTGGAGATAACCCACCTCTCAGTAACCCAATGAATACTTTTAAACAAGACTAATAAAAGTAGACAGTGCCCTCTGTTTATTGTGAAAAGCTCTAGATTTAAAACTGGAGCAATAATAAATCAGTAAAACAAATCAATGATCAGAGTAACACCAAATCAATTGCTATCACTAAGTCAATTAATTTCACTCAGAGCTTTGTGCCAAAGTTGGAGGTGTGGCAGTATGGGTGGGGGAGTGGGTGTAGGTGGTAGTATTGGCAGGTGGGCCATAGTGTTGGCCTGTAGATGGTGGATGTGTTGGTTAGTAGATGATAATGTTGGTGTGTGGGTGGTAGAGGAGTTGGTGAGTAGATGATGGCGTTGGTCTGTGGGTGGTGATGTTGGTCTGTGGGTGGTGGAGCTGGTATGGATGGTAGTGTTGGCTTTGGATGGTGGAGGTCTTGGTATGTAGATGATGGTGCTGGTGGTGTGGGCTTGCAGAAAGAACACTTACAGATCGCAGCTCCCTCCTGGTGGTATCCGGAAATACTTTTGGGGTCTCCATGAGTGGGGCTTCTGTGAGCCCTGTCTGTGGGTGTAGGCCCAGTAAGCAGGCAGCTGGTGCAGGGCTGAGGCAGCATCTGTCCCCAGGGGCATAGGGATGGTATGGGCCACAGAGGCAGCAGTGGAGTGTGGAGTGGCAGAAGCCTGCTGTGCAGGTCCTGGGGAAATCTGTGTCCAGAGAGGCCGACTTGGTGAGGGCGTTGCGCCCACAAGCACAGAGTTTGTTCCAGGGAGATAAACAGCAGGGCTGTGATGGGGATCTGCTTATAGAAGTCTGAACAGATACATCATGGACCTGAGCCACCTGGGTGCCTGTCATGGTGATGGGGTCACACAGAGTTTGCTCGAAAGCTGCGCCTCTGCAGTTGGCCCCCACGGCCACAGCATTCCAAGCACCTGACTCCAGACCGGAGGACACTGGGGTTGTGACTGACTCATGGCAGCCTGCATCTGCTTCAGGGAGGGTATGGAGGTAGGGGCTGGACTTTGTGGTGCAGACAAGGTCAGCTGTGTGGGGTGTTACGCCTCCGTGACTGGGGATGTGCTGTGATGGCCTCTCTTGTGCCAGGACGATCTCGCTGGTGTCTGAGCAGAGCTTGCTGCTCTCCATGGCTCTTGAAGACTCAGAGTCCACACGCAGGATTCTGACTGGAGTAGAATCCATTCCAGGTGACCTTTGAGGATCCTGGCATTGCCACTTCCCAGGCACCTCTCCTGCCTTCTCAGGCCTCACAGACCCATCTCCCTTCTCTGTAATTTCAGGCACCAGGGGCCCCCAAGGGCCAGGATTTGTAGAAGTGGCCAGGCCTTCAGCATCCTCGTATTCGACATCTTCTTCTGGATCTTCTCCCCCTGTAGGGTTCTTGGAGTCCATATCTGGAGTCCACAGATCTGGTGACCCCTCAGAGGCCCCAAGCAGGGGCTCTTCCTCCACCATAAATGCAGAGGTCTTTTCTTCCAAGACACTGCAGTCTTGGCTTGAGGAGGTACCCACCAGGCCCATGGAATCAGAGCCACCTGACTCTTGCTGGAAGTTCCGGGAGGACACAGAGCTGTGGCTTGGATTCCTTGGCTTCCCCTCTCCAGCCTCAGGGGGACCATGGCTGCTCTGCAGAGGAGTCACAGAAGATAAGGGGACAAAGGAATGGAGTCAGGAGTGAGGAAGGCAAGGAGAAGTACCATTACCATTGAGTCAGAAGCCAAAGGATGAAGATGGCAAATGGGTTTTGCATCAAATCACATCTACATAGCTCAGCCTTCTTATTTAGAAAAATCAAAGGAAATATGAGAGAGTTCTGGCACGTGGCCTCTGTGGTTCTGTCACCCTCTGTCCTTGAGGGGTGTGGCATGTGCTTTCAGATTTTTCCCATGGTGGTGGGCACTTTTAAACACCGGGCCCAGGGTGGGAGGGGTGGGAGGACTTGAGTACAGCAGGAGGGAAGGGCAGTTAGGGCCTTGCTTCACTCTCTTCTACCTGGAGTTGTGGGGGCTCCAGTGGCTCCTCCAGAAACCCACTGCTGTCAGACTGGCAGCTGTTTGCTCTGTCTACTCTGGCACCTGTGGGAAGGAAGAGACCTTGAGGTTAGGGAAAAACACATGTGTTTTCAACAGGCCTGGGGCCCAGCTTTCTGGTGCCTGCCTCTGTCAGTGCCCAGCACAAATGGATGAAGAAATTCTAAGGACTTCTTTTCCTCCATTCTCAAGCGTTCACATCAGTGCATCTCTGATTTACTGATAAGAAGGTCAACACATGAAAGCCAGAGGCACTAAGATCTCTTAAAACAAAATAACAGGGAAGGGGAACAACAACATGGAAAGACAAAGGACAAGGTGGGGAACCAATGCAACAGCGATATACACAAGACAATATGTTGGAAATGATCTGTACAACTTGGGTGGGGGGAAGGGTTGAATTTTTATTAGATTAGTAAAGGCATAGTTATTAAGAGAGGCATAAACTTTACATGCTATCTCAATAAAACGATAAAAGACCAAAAGGTCTGTGTGCCCTCCCTCTTTACTTGGTTTTAGATAAGAAGCTTTTCGAAGCTTCAGCTGGACCCGGTCTTATGACAATCCACGCTCCTGTTGTTTGGGTCTGTCATTGTCACACGGGCTGTTGTCAGCAGGAGAGACTGTGGTGCACAGAGACCCTGCATAGTTAAGTGGGGCAGGTGTGGCTTTGTGAACAGCAGCACCTGAACTCTACCTCTACCTGAGGCTGCTTCTGGCCAAAAACTTATGTCAGTTGTACGTTTGATCATGGTGGGATCATGGCTAGCTAGCTAGTAGATGGTGACTCTGCTAAAGATGAGAGCAGGAGATTTGTTCCTTCTCTGTGAGAAATTCATCGAGGGGTGAGAGCATGGGCTGGAAAGGAAGCGTCTTGGAAATGGGAGGCTGGGAGGAAGCATTTTAAGAACACAAGGACCAGACGGAGGGCCCTTCTTTATTCTGTGAAAAAAAAATTGGTTGTGGGTCTGGGAGTTGCATTGAAAAGACATTGTTGGTGAATATGCGTCGGTATCTTGGATCGAAGTGCTTTTGTTTTTTGTTTGAAATTGATGCTAGGCTTGAACTCAGAGCCTCACACTTGCTTAGCTTCTCACTCCTGGCTGGCTTTCTAACACTTGAGCCATAATGCCTCAAGTGGTTGTTTTGGAGATAGGGTCTCTCATACAGTGTTTATTTTTTTGTTGTTGTATTGTTAAGATTAAAGTATGGGAAAAAATTGCCAGTGATACACTTAGATGAGACTTTCTGTTTGGCAAACTGGAGTAAGATGATAAATTTTTATTTGTCTCAAAATAACTAAAAACTAGACCAGAGTACATGAAAAAATTGATTTTCTAGACAGTGGACAGCAGACAATCCTTCAAGACACATGGTACAGTGTGCCTTAGGGAGAGCATCATGTCACAGCACCACACCCAGGCAAGAAGGTGCGCGATGGGTGTTGACGCGATGTGATTTCTGCCTACTGCTCTGAATGTCAAAGTGAAGAAATTCAATGAAGCGCGGGTAAACGGCGGGAGTAACTATGACTCTTTTACGGTAGCCACATGCCTCGTCATCTAAATAGTGACGCACATGAATGGATGAACGATATTAAACAGCGGTGTCCATGCAGGAATCACGAGATCAAACTGTGGTGTCCACGTGGGGATCACGTGATTAAACAGTTCTGTCCACGTAGTGTCCACATGATCAAGTGATGGTGTCCACATGGTGATCACCTGATTAAACAGTATTGTCCATGTAGTGTCCACATGAGCAAGTGATGGTGTCCACGTGGTGTCCACGTGATCAAATGAGGGAGTCCATGTGGGGATCACGTAATCAAGTGATGGTGTCCATGTGGTGATCACGTGATTAACCAGTACTGTCCACGTGATCAAGTGATGGTGTCCACGTGGGGATCACCTGATTAAACAGTATTGTCCACGTAGTGTCCACGTGAGCAAGTGATGGTGTCCACGTGGTGTCCACGTGATCAAATGAGGGAGTCCATGTGGGAATCATGTGATCAAATGATGGTGTCCATGTGGTGATCACGTGATTAAACAGTGGTGAACAGCCTCTGGCAGTTTGGAACAATGTAGGTACGGGAAGTGGGCAAGCTGGATCCCTAACTTTGGGATAAGGATTGGCTCTGGGGGCTGGATCGGTTGGGCTGGCCCACAAAGGGGGGCTGGGTGTGTGCTGAGGCTGGACGAGGCGCCACCGCCCTCCCCGACTCCCGGGGCACCTCCATCCCCTCGGGCCCACCCCCACGGCCGGTCACTCTCAACCCTCCTGCGAACCCCGCGGACACAGTGCCAAGCAAGTGGCGCTCGCAGCAGGCGAGGGCGGACGGTCCCCTGTGGGGAACCCGCCACTGGCGGTGGCCCGGACACCCGGGGAGCCTGGCAGAGTCACGGCCTCACCGGGGAGCCCGGCGGAACCGGACGACCTGCCCTCCCCTGCCTCTCCCCGCCAGCCTATCCGTCTGTGGGGCGGGCTGCGGCAGGTGGGTTTGTCAGGGGGCAGTGGCGGGCCACCACGCCAGTCCCCCCTCCAACCCATCCCCCGCCGGGTGCGCCCCCCCCAGGGTGTGGTTTCACGGTTCTTGAAGCTAGTTAGGCCAGGCCAGGGCTAGCCTGCCCTGGAGCAACTCCTGCCTGGGGAGATTTCCCCAGGGGCATACTATTCCCAAGGAGCCCCAGCAACTCCTCACTCCGTAAGTTGTGGCCTTGACTGTCCATCTGTTTTTTCCTTTCAGATAAATCTTATGAACAAATGCCCTGCTACTGACTGCCCCCTGTTTCAAAGCAGTTCAATAAATGAAGCCTTCCTCCTCCTTCTCCTTCCCCTCCCTCCGCCTTCCGTTCCCCCTCCCCTGTCCATAATTTTGTCCTACACTTGCCAACTGATGCCCTCATTCTGTCTGCCCAAGGCCAGGAGCCTGACTTCTTCATAGTGTGTGATGCTGGCACCCTGTTGGACCAGATAACCACATCATTTGATAGACCTGCAGCCAGATGTGCAGGTGAGCACACACTGCTCCTCCCCCTGGGGGGGGGTGTGGACATGGTGACCCTATGCCAATTGCAGGCCGCGATGAGGATCATCGTTGATAATATGTACATGAAGACTTTCTGCACATATAGAACTGTTTATGTTTTCCTTTGCACAATCACAATTAAGATCATTAATAATGATCACACTTGATTACGCTGATTACTACTCAACATTATTAATATGCAATATTAATATATTATACCATGTATTAGTATCCGTGTTCACTAGAAATCAGCTTCTTGTGTACCTAATTGTCTTCACAGGTTCCTCTGGGTTCTGTGTGTCTGCCTGAGAGGACCACTCCCCCCACCCCCACCTCCCCAGGCAGCCTGGGAGGACCACTCTGCCCCCCCCCCCCTGCCCCCAGGATGACTCTCCTACTGGCTGGCTCAGGTCACACATTTAGGAGACCTTCATGCCTAGCAGGAGGCCCAGCCCTCAGGCACTGCATATGAACAGACACCAGATGGCAGTATTACACCAGGCACAGAGTGCGGGAGCCTGGGCCCTGTGGAGGACCTGGAACTGGCTGCAGGAAGAAGCGAACCCCAAAGGCTGCCTTTGTGATCTACATTGACAGCAGGAGCTCCTGGAATTGCACCTAAAATGGTCCTGGAGGCAGAAATCCTATGGGATTGGAACGCAGATGGGGGAGGGGAAGTCTGTGGTCTTGTTCAGAGGAGAGAAGGCTGTCTGGAGTGAACCATCTTCATCAGCTGGTTCGCCATACCTGCTTTGTTGCCAAGTTCCTATCTCTTCTCTCAAGGAAAGAAGCACAGGTGTTGAGTTCGGAGTTGGCACAGGGCAGCCATGTGCCTTCTCTGGATTCTGCTGGTTGCTCCCCAAGCCATTTAGAAAATTTCAATTGTTTTTGTGGAACAACAAAAAGCCTCTTCGTGAGCCACAGTCTTCAAGTCCCCAGGTGAAGAGGTGAAAAGCTTCTAGAACATTCTTTACAGTTGTCACCTGGCTATTGATTGCACAGGCTGGTGATAAGGCATTACTCCCGTGTAGTTAAGAGTATTTTACCACGCTGTTCTTTCTAAATGTTCTTCAGGACCACTTCAAATTCTTCACAGAATGTATTAGCCAACCCTTCTTGTATTGAACCATATGTATAGGGCTGCCATTTGCTGGTCATTGTCTTGCTCCTTGAAGACAGCTATCTTATACTCAACAACCCTTTTCCTCTGCCGAATCTTCCAGCCCCTTTAACTCCAGCCCTTGCAGGCTATGAATGTCAGGCCAGTTCTCCTTGGAGTTTTAAATCAGCCCTGAGGGATATGGTTTGCTAGCTTGCTGTGAAATATGATACCTGGTCTGATTTCAGGAGCTGTGTGGTCCACCCCCAGGCCCAGCCATGGCAAAGGGCAGAAGTGCTGGGGATCTCAGCCCCTACCACAGCCTGTGCTTTCAGTTCAGTTACAAGTTGTATTTCCAGCACTGGCCTACTCCACTATCTGTGTTCTATTTGGAAATTGGAAAATAAAAGATACTGAAACCTACATGAACAATTTTGTCTGCATCCTTGTTTTTGCACATTTGAGACGGTGATTCCTTCCTGTCAAGGGTAATTTGATCTTCAGTTTGAAATCTATTTGTGTTGCCTATCGCTTTGAAAAACACTCTCACTGTGGGAAAGTCCCTGGTGATATGGTGAACAGACAGAACACGATGCTCTACTAGCATCCTTTGCTCTTAGTACGTGTGCACTGGGTCCATGTCCCACACTGGGTCTCCAAAGTATCCACAGACCATTACACAGAGGCTTGCTCTTATGGGACTTTTTTTTTTAAAGGATTTGTGTTTTTAAAGTATTTGTTTTTCAAGTAAAAATCAAAGTAATGTTAATCTACTTTAAAAAATTATCTTCAAATAGTCATATTTATGTGCATCCATTTATGTGCACAGTATGTCTTGGCCAGTGTTGCCTCCGCCACCATCTTTCCTCTTTCCCATCTTTCTCATCACCACTGGCTCCTCAGGTTTCTTAATTC